GTATCTTTGGGGAGAAAGCAGTGTTTTAAGGTAAGTTACCCTTTGCGGGGATGCAGTGTCTAAATAAAGAGGGGTGTCTCTCTCCTGTTGTGAGGGAGGGTAGAGAATTTTCCTTTCCCAAGATAGGGGAGGGAGTCACCAAAAGAATCACTCAAAGTAGGAGTACTTGAACCACTCAAAGTAGGAGTACTTGAACCACAGAATTGGTGATTGCCTCCAGTCTGAAAATTGCCAAGCCATTCACCTGGTACTGCTAGAGAATAGAAAAAGAGAGAATAGAAAAAGAGACATGAGAGGGTAGGTAAAACTGAGAGAGGGAGGTGTCAGCTGTGTAGTGGGACAATCTGTATTTCTAAGTTTCCCCAAAATCAAGTGGTACTACATGGTATAGCAGGGCCCTAGATAACTGCTCCATCACCACACATACACACACACACACACACACACACACACACACACACACACAAATGCACATGCAATGCATACCCACAGCAACTATATATTATCTCCAGTTCAAGCAGTCAAAAGAAACTCCAGTTATTAAATTAAAAAAATCTTATCTTTAGAGGTACATAGTGATGTATTCAAAGCTGAAATGATAAGAGTCCTAGGATTCGCCTCATATCTGGTAGTAGAGGTAGTGGGTGTGATTGTATGTTATATTGTTGAAGCTAAGTTTTGTTGTACAGTTTCCTCTACTTTTGTATATTAATTTGAATTTTTAATACTAAAAAACTTTTTTTAAATACCTTTGGGCACAAAAAGATTTTGTAAAATAAATCAATTGAACCAATCACAATTTATAGACTTTATTTGGATCTCTATTTGAAAAACTGTCAAAAATTATAAGACAAGCCCTAGCTGGTTTGACTCAGTGGATAGAGCAGCCTGTGGACTGAAGGGTCCTGGGTTCGATTCTGGTCCATGGCACATGCCTGAATTGCAGGCTCAATCCCCAGTGGGGAGCGTGCAGGAGGCAGCTGATCAATGATTCTCTCTCATCACTGATGTTTCTATCTCTCTCTCTCCCTCTCCCTTCCTCTCTGAAATCAATAAAAATATATTTTTTTAAAAGTATAAGACAATCAAGAAAGTGAACACTAACTGGATATCTGATGATATTAAAGAATTTCTGGCCCTAACTGGTTTGGCTCAGTGGATAGACTAGAGCATCAGCCTGCGGACTGGAAGGTCCCAGGTTCGATTCTGGGCAAGGGCATGTACCTTTGTTGTTTCTAACTCTCTATCCCTCTCCCTTCCTCTCTGTAAAAAATCAGTAAAAATATATTTTTAAAAAAAAAGAAAAAAAAGAATTTCTGTTAATTATTTTCTGTATGGTAACACTAAACACTATTGTGGCTATGTTTAAAAAGAGTTCTTTTAGCCGAACCGGTTTGGCTCAGTGGATAGAGCGTCGGCCTGTGGACTGAAGGGTCCCAGGTTCGATTCCGGTCAAGGGCATGTACCTTGGTTGCGGGCACACCCCCACTGGGGGGCGTGCAGGAGGCAGCTGATCGATGTTTCTCTCTCATCGATGTTTCTGGCTCTCTATCCCTCTCCCTTCTTCTCTGTAAAAAATCAATAAAATATATTTTTAAAAAAAAGAGTTCTTTTAGAGCAGCGGTTCTCAACCTGTGGATCGCGACCCCTTTGGGGGTCGAACGACCCTTTCATAGGGGTCACCTAAGACCATCGGAAAACACATATATAATTACATATTGTTTTTGTGATTAATCACTATGCTTTAATGATGTTCAATTTGTAACAATGAAAATACATACTGCATATCAGATATTTACATTATGATTCATAACAGTAGCAAAATTACAGTTATGAAGTAGCAACAAAAATAATTTTATGGTTGGGGGTCACCACAACATGAGGAACTGTATTAAAGGGTCGCGGCATTAGGAAGGTTGAGAACCACTGTTTTAGAGAAACAATAAAATGTTACAGATGAAATATGTTATATTGGGAATTTGCTTCAAAATAATCAGGGAAAGGAAAATGGACAGTGGATTGGATGAAAGAAGATGGACCATTATCAATACAGATTGACCATGTATTGATAGTTTTTAAACTGGTTCATTATTATTATTTACTAGTGTCCTGGTGCACAGATTCGTGCACATTGAAAGGAAATTAATTAGAAGAAATATTTTAATATCGCTATTCACGTTTTGCTAATGCAAAGAAAATAGGATTCTTTTTTTAAAAATATATTTTATTGGTTTTTTACAGAGAGGAGGGGAGAAGGATAGAGAGTTAGAAACATCGATGAGAGAGAAACATCGATCAGCTGCCTCCTGCACACCCCCTACTGGGGATATGCCCACAACCAAGGTACATGTCCTTGACCAGAATCGAACCTGGGACCCTTTAGTCTGCAGGCCGACGCTCTATCCACTGAGCCAAACCGGTTAGGGCAGAAAATAGGATTCTACTAAGTCTCCTATCTACCTACTCCAGAACTTCTGTGAGGATCAAATGAGATGAGGCATGGGAAGACGTTTCATAAACATTTGGTTAAACTGTAGAATGTTTGCACCTGGCTATAAAGCAAGTTGGGTTCCTGGGCTGAAGAAACTCCAAGGAGGCTAGTCGCTAGGGAGAGAAAGCTGGGTGTTGCTACGTGATTACCCGGTGCCCACAGCCACCATTTCCGGGCTGGGCTGGGCTGTGGGCCATATTTTGCACCATGAGGTCTTGGCAGCATTGGCTGTGATTTGGTGGGGTGTCGCTCCAGG